CTAAAATAATGCAGATAGTCAAGGGTGAATTTTTCATTTGAAGGTTCTGTCCTGCTATCATGAAGATGTATTTAAAAAATGGAAGCATTAGCAAATCTTTTTTTCTCCATTGGGGTGAAAATCTACCAATAATGTCAGACAAAATTTGGGAATGAAAATGAATGTTTTTACCACATAAACATGAGTGTAGGTTTTTTTCTCCGCTAGGAGGTTAAGTAAATCTACATGTACATTATAAATCTCCAAAAATTTGATCTAGAATCATAAGAACTGAGGTCTACATCCACATGCTTAAAATGACTTTAAATTCAATAACAAATTGTGCCATATTATTACCGAGGAGCAGTAAATAACCCACAAAAGCACCATAAAAACTGCAGAACCAAGATAAACAAAAATAATTCTAAAATGCGGAACTAAAGGACCTTAGCCTTTGAGAATAAAATGCTTTTCTTAAAAAAAAGTTATGGGCCCCCATCTACACTACACAACATGCAACAGCATGGAGTTACTACCATATCCGCAATAACAAAACATCCCGTTTCTATCGCGTGGTCTATTCAATTGGAACCCGTACAAATATACGTGTGCACGAAATCATGCAACTTCCTGATCACTGTAATGAAACATGTAATGTAATGTTTTGGGCTATAAACGGTCATATCTAGCATATTTTTGTCAATTCACAGACACAAACAGAAACAAAGTAAATGTATTTGATTTTATATTTATTATCGCTGTATTTGAAATGCCATTTTTAGTTCAATTTGTTCGAAAAACTAGGCTAGTTTCGTGACCGATCAATGAATGATCGGGCATTGTCTCACGGCCGGAGGAGCATGCACTACCTCACGACTCAATGCATATATCCGTGTGTTGTGATACCGATCGTGTACGAAGCAATCGACAACTTCGTTCAAAAAACGTTCTAAAAACCAAACAATCAAGTTTAATTAAAATAACCATTTATCATTACCTTCTGTTTGTGCTCTGGCGGTATCAATATATGTTGGTATCACTTGAAGAACTCCAAGTAACAGTGTAAACCACATTTGTATGAACCCACAACTTTTCTCCATTCTCCACGAACCCGCCATGTTTTCTTCTTTCGCGTTGTAGTAATCGAGCGCGCGGAACTGCATGATTCAAGTGCGTTTTGTGTGCGTTAACGATCTAATATGCAATAAAATTCTTCCCTTCTAATTCTTTATTTGATATAAAAAGATTTCAGCATTGAAGTTTTCATATTTCATTTTTTTTTTTCGTCACCGATACTTGTAGCTACCAGAAAAGGATTAAGAATCAGTTAAGAATTAACTGTAATGAAAAGGTGAGGGAACAAGACAAGGCTCATTTGGAATAGGACACAAGTTAGCAATTAAATTCATAAATGATCCTAATAGTTTGAAACTCCTTTTTAAAAATTCTCAAAGTTGCAATTACAAGATTTACCAAGATGCAAATTTTACTTCAGCTAGTGTCAAAATGATATTTGAGTGCAGGCGCGTAAACAGGGGGGGGGGTTGGGGGTTAAACCCACCCCCCCCCCCCCTTTGGTAATTTTTATATGTGTATTTTAGAGGAACCCCCCCCCCCCCCCCCCCGCTTATTCAGCGGCCCGATTTAAAAATGTTAAACCCCGCCCCCCCCCCCCTTGAAAAAATCCTGCGTACGCCACTGTTTGAGTCATTCAGTTCTCATCAGCAGGCCTAGAAAGTAGGCTGACCTACTTTTGCTTGACAAAACAACGGGAGTATTTTGTCATTAATCAGCATTATAAGTCTACTGTTTCATCTTTAAAAAAACAAACATTCTCAAATCATCGTTTACTCATAAGCCATTATGCTTAAAGGTAAAGACCAGTATTGGCAACGCCCCAATTTCAAAAAATGAAATGGAAGCTCCCATTACCAATCATGTGAAAGAATATGTTTTGACTAATACATGATGATAAAAAATTTGCCGGGAAACCGCCTACTAATTCATATATTTGGTAAATTTATTTCTCTCATGGTCTGGTGAGAGAGATAGGGTAGTCCCATATACATCTTTCTGTGTATAGTGCTTGTAACTTTACGAAGAATGAGCCAAATTTCTTATCATTTTGATGATTCCAGAACCTTGCAGATGCTAGATGCTAGATGATCGACCTTTTCTGATCGATTCCACAACGTTTCTTTCACAATGCAATCGCATGACCATTACTGGTCTTTACCTTTAATCGAGGATTGCAATGGCTGATTAAGGGGTGCACATTGTCACCCCCCCCCCCTCAATTGGCACAACCTTACAATGTGCCTCACCAAATTAAGCCAGAATTATTATATTTTTTTTTTGGGGGGGGGCACTGTGTATTTTTTGGGGGGTGCATGGGGGAAGGAGTTAGTCTCAAGTTGCATCGTTGCGGTACATGGTCATCATCCCACAGGATAATAGTTATATGATTATATCCGAGGGTACTCAGAATTGGTTAGACGTGGGTTCAAAAATTTTGAACATGAAAAACGGACCCATTTTTAAAAGTGGGACCTATGTTTGAGGGATTTTTTGTGAAAAAGTGACGCATTACAGCGACACAGCCCCATATGCATTATGAGTCCCCTGGATCTATTATGTATACAACATTATTCATATAAAGGAGGGTCGGTGGAGGGATAATGTTGAACGTTGGAGGGAAAATACACGTTTCAGCCCACATGCTTAGGTTTCGCATCTAACGAGCCTGTGTCTATCGATAGGGAATTTGTATATGGCTCATCTTCAAATAATAAATATTCCAATAACAGAATTTCTTTTAAATGTTTGATACTCTTATTTTATTACTAATTTGTGATTCATTAAGATAATGATGATTGCCGCTTTTGGTGTTAGTGGTATTGTTGAGCCTTTTTCTTGTTTCGTTCTGTCTTTCTTTCTTTTTCATATTCTTTTATTTTTTCCTTTAATTATTGCCTATTCTGTCGTTTTGTTCTGAGCCAGAGTCCTATCCCGGCTTGAGTTGTTTTCTGCCCCCCCCCCCCTTTGTTGGAGATAGGCGACCCAACCGTAATTGATGTCCCCCCCCCCCCCACGCACACCCCTCCAAAATCAGCCGGCATTGGACAAACACAAAATACAAAATAACATTAGGTATACATCCATTATTTTGATTTGACAGAATCGGGAAAGAAAACCAAAATAGACCTACACAGTTAAACAACTATGAAGCTAGCAAGAAGCAATGTAATTGTTTAATATGTAATTGTTTATCAGTCTAATTTGTTTGTTATAGCGCTTAGACAGAGACGGATCTAGGGGGTTTCGGCGGTTCAACCCCCCCCCCCCCCCCCGGCAAAGTGGGGAAGAAAAAAAAAGAAGAAGGGGGGAAAGGGGAGAAAAGAAAAAGAAAAGAAAACAAGTTAAACGACCCGACTTTTGGAAAATCCTAGATCCACCACTGGGTCAACCCCCCCCCCCCCCCCCCCTCCTCCAACTTGGCAAAAAGAGATCCGCCCCTGTTAGAGACTTCGGTGGTAAGCGCTTTATAAACCACGTTTTTTATCATTTATTATTATTATTATTTACTCAGTCTGATGGGGAAAGTATTGATGGCGCCCTCCGTCGCTTGACAGTTCATCAGCAATCGATAGAGGACGGTATACTCGACACGTGAATAGTACAGAAAGTAGCCTACACTGCTTTACAATCCTTATCGCCGGTTTACTAACATATTCAAATCAGTTGATGCATACTTTCAGCACACAAACAAGTTGTTATTGACAACTTGAACCCCCCCCCTTTGATTGCCCGACATAGCAACAAACAATTATTGCAGGCAGGGTTCAAAGTTTTATACTTCATTCATCATTATTCTTATAACAGAAATTATCGTCCCTTTTTTCACGTAGTGACGGTAGTGAGGAAAATCGTAACGCAAAGTGAATGCAATTTTTTTTCACTACCGTCACTTCGTGAAAACAGCGACGTAAATATGACTCATCACTAGGCCAGAAAAGAAACATCCATAAATTTGAATATGTTAGTACATCGTCTATTCCATCGTGAAAGATGCCATTACACATAGCAAGTGAACCAGGGGTGCAGGAGTCTCCAAAAATTGGAATCTACTGCAATTTATGGACGGATCTCCTTCGAAAGCCTCATAGATCTATGTTAAGTACGTCATTCACAGACCTCTTGATAAGTCCTGTTACGTACATTAATTATTGTTACCATGTCTGGTAATCTCCTTTAATGTTTCAACCTCGCCATTAGTATAACTAAAGTAGATTTGTGTTATCGCTTGTTCAGTTTGTATTTGTAACGCGATCGCAGCTCTTCCGAAAAATCAACCTATAAGGTAATAGACCAGTTAACTAACATAATCATATTTATGGATGTCTCTTTCCTGGGGACCTAGTGACGAGTTACTGCATTAACCCTTCAATTTGAATGAACTACAATACCTAGAATCCAGTCGGCATACATCGGTCAAGCTTTCAGGTTTTCAGAAACAACCTTTGTTTAAAAAGTATGCATAACATAATTTGAATATGATTGTTAGTAAACTGGTCTATTTCAATAGCCTTGTATGAACAAGCCAATCAGGTACATATAATAATATTGCATAATACGAACACGATTTTTTTTTGGACGTATAACGGGTTCATGAAATATTACCTCTTTTTTTCGATTATAGTTGCGTTCGTGAGCTTTTTTTTCTTCTTTTCTTTCTTTTTTGCAATATGCTTGATCGAATTAAATATTTTTCAGTGCCCTTCCAATATGATTCACTAAATCAAAGATAATACTCTCACTGAACATTTTTTATTCCACAAGGTCTAAAACATTTCTTTTTAATATGGATTCATTGTATAATGCACACATCTCTTACGGCATCATAAATAACAAACATAAAGGGTTCAGATCAATAACAGGTTAAAGATGTAAAACACAAACATGATTCCTGGTAGACATACATTTGTATGACTCTACAATAAAAACAACAATTTGCTATTAAGTTCTTTTTGTTTTTGTTTATTAGTAACGTTGAACAAATTCACATTAATCGTAACTTGGGAATATCATTATGTTGGGTTGCTCTGGTGTCGGTCTAGTTGATGTGACTGAGGTTAAACGATATCTCCTCAAAAAAATAATGATAACTTCGAACGAAAGATACAGCTAATAATAATTTGTCTCTCTGGCAATTAATTCACTGAACACGGGAAATTAAATAAAAACACGGGTAAAATCAAGATCAAATGACATCTGTTGATAGGCGACATAATTATCTAGAATCAGTATGAAAGACGGCATTTTCAAAGTTAAAAAACTTTGTCAAGTAGTTTGTTGTCGAATCACCTTCTTGCAGTGCCGGTAACAGGATAGGATAAAAAGATCGATACACTTGTAATGTCTTCCCTCAAGAAGGTCGTAACTGCTATACACAATATGCTCTCATGGCCAAGTTCTTGCAGACAGCCGCCGATATGGATCATCATCTTCTTCAGCGAGAAGACAAAATTGTTTGGACCTCGTCAAGTCGTCTTAAAAAAGTTCAAAAGCAAAAGTGGTTGACGTTCATGAGGCTAATTGCCCTTTTTGTTAACCCCACATTCCCATAAAATTTTGTTTGTTCCTTCCCTTTGTATTTTTCTCTGTTATCGATCTTTATGTGAATATCATGTTTGTATGTTTTAATGTTTTTTTATGGAGAATGAAAATAAATGAATTGAATTGAATTGAACATAATCCATGAAACCTCTCCACCAAGCTTCCAACTGAAACAAGAATACAAGAAGATGTGAGTCGATCTTGTCTTCTTGTCTCGATGAGATTAGGATTCTTTATATTTGTAATTTGTTTTGTAATCTTTTACCAGTGAAAAATAAATCGGGATTAACAAACAAAGTTAGTCCGAGGTCTAAGCTTCCTTTTGTTAAAGGTGATTTTAGACCCAGGGTTGGATTTAAAGGAATTAGAGAAGAAGGCTTAAAGGGATGCTTGTATGGTGTACCCGTTCAGTTTTCCTCACTATTGTACCACACCATGCAATCCTATCAATTAAAGGAATTAATAGAATACGGACCAACAATAATAATATAAGTGAGATTCGGGATCTATATTCATCATGTCTTTTTTTGGGCTTCTATATTGATTCCTGTCTGATGCATTATCCAAACATGTCCGGGTAGGCATGGTCACCGTAGGCATGGCCACATCCGCACAACGCCTTTCTTATGTAGCTAAAAGTCGTATAGATCTGGGCAGAGAAATGATAGAAAATAAAGTGTATTAATATCAAACAGAAATAATGGGACAACTGCTTCCAAGTGAATGCCCCCATGTTATAGAGGAATTACCCAATAAAGATCACTTCCTGCTAACATTAGCATGGTTATCGAACACACTGAAAGCTACATAGAGGTAATCAAATAAGGTATTTTCGTAATTATAACCAATTTATGCATAATAACATATGCCTTTGTGAAGCGACTTGATACGAATTATTTCATTCATCTGTTGCGAATCAAATGCATCTCAGTAGTCAGAATTCAAATTGCATACATAAGTTTTTGCTGGATAGAACAAACATTATTGCTTTCCCTACCTATAACAACACATATTATATTCATTACTATATTCATTACTATTAATCATTATTCGTAACAGGTGAATAAAAATGATACGTATCGAGGCACATAATTTGGTTACATTACAAAAACGTCTAATAGTGATAGTGATATAGGCTAGTTGAATTCTAACTGTCCGGGAGTAAACATCCGGGATTAAGGATATAGTTTTCCAGTGGTGATGGTCCAGGAGTTAGTTTCCCCAAGAATCAGAAATATTTACTTGATATTAATTTGATAATTTTCTTTCGTTATTTCCATTGTTAAACAACGATGTAACAACGAGATAGCAAGTATAATCTTTCATTTCTATTGTCCTTACTGTCATATGCACATTCAGTGTTCATTATTTTAAACGCACGTATCAAAGCGTAAACAAAAGTAGATTGAAAGATAAAATTTTTAAAAAGCACTCGGAAAAATATAAATTCTCCTCTCTTCTTAATAATAATATCATATTTATTTTTACCGTCAAAACATATTCCATCCCGGTTGAATTTGTTAGCGTGACACGGTATGTAGCGTCCTGGATACTGAGCTCTGACTGGTTTGGGTTTAGTTGAAACTGTTCGGAGAGACGAAATGAACATAAGGTCAAACTTATTGAGAGACTTGGAGAATAAAATAATACATTTACATAATTAGCTTTAAATTCAAAGTTTCAAAGTACCTGGTTCATGACTCCATAATGCGATACTGCGATTACATCCATGCAGTTAAGACGAGGAAATAGCCACGTGATCCTATTTATCTTTTTTGTTAACTTTCAAATTTTAAAATACCATTGATGACATCATCCTATTGAAATTTTATTTCTTAATTGTACAATGAATTGATTCGGTCCAGTCGTCAAATATCACTTCATTTCTCTACCAGACTGGTGTTAATCAGACTCACCCGTCTCACAATGTCGTCCAATCCACTGTGTAGTACAAAAACATCTGTAATAGCTTAGGGCACCAAACTTCTCATAGCATGTCCCTCCATTTTGACAAGGGTTGGAGTCACATGGGTGGCCTGGAGCTGGAGAAAGGTCAAATGTTATTAACTCACAATCATGATGAAAAGGAGATAAAAAGTATGTGATTGAATATATGCTGATGAACATCAATTGAAAGTTTCAATGATAGCAAATTGATTCGCTACATTGGCCTCCTTTTTAAAATCCATCATATTGTCTGGTTCTTGAGTTTACCTGATATTCAAACTGACATAGTTTCATTTGAAAGAAAAGACTTATTGAGCATTAGTATTTAGACTTACCAACACACGTTTTCTCTTCTACTTCCTCCTCGATATCTTCTACAGGACATACATCAGTGAAATCGACATCGTCGTCTTTGTCGTCATCATTCGCCTGAACAAGGGTGACGAAGACGAGGGCGAACACGGCAAGAATCCATATTTTCTTTAACATGATGAAGAATGTCTTCAAGTCAACCTCAGTTAAATCCTATAGAAAGATCTGAAGAGGTGAGAACATGACATAATTTGTATTCGTATCGGCCCATATAACAGTCACATGATTTACTGAAGTGAGAGAAGTATTATCTGAACAAGAAATCACTTTAATAAGTAAAAATAAGTCGTCTGAATCCCCCCTCCCCCCCCCCCCCCCACTCCGGGGTCGAAGGGACCGCATTTGTGTTCCAAAAACCTCCGGTAAAGGAATACTTTTCGCGCTGCAAAGTCAGGCCCGAGAATTGTGAAAATAAGGGGGTGTATTTGACTTTTCACTCCGAGATTTCTTTAAAAAGGGGGTGTCCCCCCCCCACTCTTTTTTTATTCCTGAGGATTTTAAAAAGGGGGTTATAAAATATCCACAAAAAACGGGGGGGGGGTTCTCTCTCTCCCTCTTTGGACTCCTGAGAAATTTAAAAAGGGGGTTATAAAATGTCTTCGATATCATAGATAGGGGGTTACATTTAGCAGTCTTCCGGATTAAGGGGGTCTCCAAGGCAGGAAAAGCCCGCGAAAGAGGGTTCAGAAATGTTGGCAGCCCTGAGAAAGGGGGTGCCAAAGGGAGGGAACATGCATACGCGTGCCCTAAAGAACACTGAGTGGGGGTCTGAATCATAACAGATACTAAAGTACATGATAAAGTTCGCGACTCTCTCTCTCTCTCTCTCTGTTTCACTGTCCGATTCCTCAAATACACTGTTGCTCATAACGGTGGAATATTTTTTTTTATCCCAATTTATGGAATTATTTTAAAAATAATTTAAAAATACTAGATCTAGATAATAGTATACAGTCTCAGATTTTATTGAATAATAATTTGCCAATATGTGTTTTGCGTGACTGCTAAAGCATGTATATTATGCTACTATGTTTATCAACTAGGGGACCTATGCCCTTAAGTCATAAATGACAGTAATGAGGATTAATGCCTCACAGAAGGGCTCTGATATAGCACATCGACACGGTGTTGATCCTGGGGCCTCACAGTTACGAGGCCATTGCTTTGTCACTGAACCATGACTGTACGCAGCGGGGGCTATGGTAGGGGGCAGTTTCCATAAATTAAAAAAAAAACAGATAATGCAATAAATATTCAATAATTTATTGCATTCTACCCCGGTCCCCAACATAAAAAATCCTCTGGACGGCCATGCATTATGGCTCAAGGCATGGGCACACAGGAGATTTTTTGATGTTGGGGACCGGGGTAGAATGCAATAAATTATTGAAAATTTATTGCATTTTCTGTTTTTTTTTTAATTTATGGAAACTGCCCCCTACCATAGCCCCCGCTGCGTACAGTCATGGTTCAGTGACAAAGCAATGGCCTCGTAACTGTGAGGCCCCAGGATCAACACCGTGTCGATGTGCTATATTAGTGCCCTTTTGTGAGGCATTAATCCTCATTACTGTCATTTATGACTTAAGGGCATAGGTCCCCTAGTTGATAAACATAGTAGCATAATATACATGCTTTAGCAGTCACGCAAAACACATATTGGCAAATTATTATTCAATAAAATCTGAGACTGTATACTATTATCTAGATCTAGTATTTTTAAATTATTTTTAAAATAATTCCATAAATTGGGATAAAAAAAAATATTCCACCGTTATGAGCAACAGTGTATGTATGGCCACCACCACCAAGCACTCTTAGAGAAACGAGCAATGGCTAAAGTATTGCTTATTTTACACGTGGGGTTTCCTTGTAGGCTTCACGAGTAAAAAAAAATATATTTATGAAAGTAACAAATATACGAGGCTGTTTGATACCCCTCCCCCCACGCATACACACACTCTAAAAACTGAAATGTTAAATCACCATTTAAAAGGGCCGAGGAGTAGCCACTCTTTCAAAATGGTAGATTAACACTTTGAACATGCTGGATCCAACACTATAAAGGTTGAATCTAGCAGGTTAAAAGAAACAATCTGACATTTTGAAAGAGTGGTCACTCCTCGGCTCTTTTAAATTGACATTTAACATTTCAGTTTTAAGAGTGCACCCTTGCATAGTAAATCAAATCAACCTAATCTCAAAGCAAGTGTATAATACAGTACACGTGCACATACCTCAGCACGGATATTAAAGGTCCGATAAAATTCTTCGTAACTCTTGACTGAATTGCTTCCACAAATTACAAGTCTCCTCTTTTTTTTGGAAAGAATATCTTTATTCAGTATTGTGTAGTATGAGTATTCTGGAAGTAGCACAACGCTGCACGACGTGATACAACCAGTCAAACAACTGCCAGTAAATATATGGAAAATAATCTGTGTAGCAGGATCTATATATAAGGTACCCTCATTATTATACAGTCTGCATTTCAACGAAAGTACACCAGTGCAGTTTCTTCACAATGCAATGTTGCTTTTTTTTTCAGTGTCCTCTTTTTAATACCGCTATAGAAAAGGCCTGGCCCAACCCACGGAAGAGTGACTTTCTTTCAAAGGGTCTTAAGTGTATAGCTGAATGCTCTCAAGTCTCCTTCGAGCTAAGACTTCGTTTGTTTAGATTGAGTATGAAATCCAACCTATGCTTATAATACATGAATGAATAATTGTCTTAATTCAAGCCATGTTTAGCCAGCGTTAGACAAGGTGGTTCACAAAAATAGCTATAATACATGATGTAAGTAAATAATGATACATAACTCCCAAAGAAGCGAGTCCTAGCAATTTCTCGAAACTCTATACCTCCCTTTCTCATTCCATTTCTCCTACACAAAGTGATCCCCAGCTATGAGAGTTACCAGTAACTTTTTTCACGACATATCAGGTTTAAGAACTGATTGGGCCTATTCATGTTTTAAATGTATAAATATTTTTTGTTGTGTTAAAACAAAAAATCTGTGCTGTATCATCTGACTATAATCCACTAAAGAGTGTGGTAAAACACCTTTTACCACATCGTACATAAATGTTGATACAAGAAGTTCATGAAGTTGAAAAATATTTAAAACGTTAGACTTTGGAAAAGAGCTTTGGAATCTGTTCTAATTGGACTGAATGTAATTGCTCTCATTGCCATTTTTTTTACTTAAATATATACAATTTAGATTACTTTTGTAAGTGCTCCCCCATACTTCTACTCCATAAGAGAGGTGAGGCTGTATAAAAGCCTTATATAATAACACAAGTATATTCTTGGGAACAAAATGTCTCAGTTTAAACAGAATACCTACTTTCTTTCTTATGCATTTGTTTATTGTCTGAATAATATTCAGACAATTCTTTCCATGAAAGGTGATAATCAATTTCAATTCCTACAAATGATGCAACGGATACCTCTTTAATATCTGATCTTGATATTCTAACAGATCCTTTTTTTGTCTATTGATCTACCTATGGATTTCATAATCATATAGTTTGTTTTCTGTATGTTAATTGTGACTTCATTTGCATTACACCATTCCTGCATGTTCATTAAATTTTCACTTACAATTTCTAAATCAATTTCTTTTTGTCTAAGATTAAGAGTATGAAAAAGATTTGAGTCATCAGCAAATAATCTGAAATTGAAAAGGTTTGTGGAGTTATGTAAGTCATTTGTATATATATATATATATATATATATATATATATATATATATAGTAAAAATAATGTTAGTCCAAGAACGGAGCCTTGAGGGACACCACATGTTATATTCGATTTCAAAGACATTTTGTCTTTATATTGTCTTATGTTTTTTTTGTGTATACATTGATGTTTGTAGAAAATAAAAAGAAGAAGATGATGCTTGTACACATAGGCGCCGGAAGTGGGGGGGGGGCAGGGGGGCAGGGGGGCAGTTCCCCCAGTCAAAAAAGTGGGGGGGGGGGGCAAAACGCATTTTTGCCCCCCCCCCCCCCCCCCCCCCCCCAAAAAAAAAAAAAAAAAAAAAAAAAAAAAACAGTAAAGGAGTAAACATGGTTTGTATTTTTAATCCAAAAGAACGTAACAATAATAAAAACCGAATTAAATCACATATACAATTCCAATCAAAGAAAAAGGAAAGTTCACAGGAATTAAATTTCATAAACATCGCGCTTTCCACCTATACGGTACTTTAAATGGAGGTCTCTATAATAGCGATACGCGCATTGCGTGGACATCGTGTGCGAGAATGGGAAAGCGTGTCCGTTTTTTGGTTATAGGGATGAGAAGACATGAGCCCCTGAACGCTGGCGTACTGATGGGGGGGGGGGGGGTAATGCATTTCTTATTCGAAACAAGTGATTTACAAATGTTGATGTTGTGACATGATTTTCCGAAAGAGGCGGAGCAAGAAGAGGAAAATAATGATGAATTTGTAGAATTTCTATAACGTACGAAAACACAAGTATATATAAAATGAAAAAGTATGAACCGGCAGAAGAATACAAATTTCAATCATATAACATGTCATTTACTTCTCTTATCTGACTGTCAAGTATTAGGTATTCCTTTAATTTCCTCTTAAAATGAGCACATTTTTCTATTTCCTTTACACCATTGGGAAGGGAATTCCAATGTTTTATGGCATTGTAATAAAACGAATTTCCAATACTACCTACTCTTTCTGGTAAGTTAAAGTTGAATCGGCTATTTCTTGTATTATAAACATAGAGTAGTACGCTGTCATCTGCGTACAATAATAGTTTGAAGTCTTTTATACAAATACACATATCATTTATATAACTTGAAAATAGAATTGGGCCTAAAATGCTTCCCCGAGGAACACCGCATGTTATAGGCATTAGTTTGGAACGAATATCATGAATGGCCACTACTTGGTGCCGATTAGATAAGTAGGATCTGAACCAATCTAAACTTGCCTTATCAAAACCCATGAGTTGTAACTTCTTCAATAAGACGCAATGATTAACTGTATCAAAAACTTTTTGCAGATCAAGGAGCACCATACCAACAAAGCGCCCTTGGGAAGTTTCTCTCCTCAAATAATCAGTCAAATGAATTAGACATGTTTCAGTCGAATAATCATGTCGAAAACCAGATTGAAATTCATAAATTATATTATTTTCTTTGAAGTATCTTTCAATTTGAACACAGACCGATTTTTCTAGAATCTTTTATGCTACGCTTAAAACACTAATAGGTCTATAGTTGCTAACATCAGTTTTATCTTTCTTTTTATAAAGTGGAGTCACTTTTGCTATTTTCATATCCTCTGGAAAAGTACGCGTCAAGATATTAGATAGGTTCATTAAGTAACTTAGAGGCTTAAATAAAACCTTAGCACCATCTTTTAGAAATTTAGCTGGAATCATGTCTAACCCAGTACTTTTTGATACATTCAACTTACGTAACTCTTTGAAAACAAATTGTTCACTGATTGGTAATAACTCGAAGCTGTTTTCACGTACACCTTTTCTTTCGTAAAACTCACGAATACAATCATTGTCTGCGCTGAGAAAGTCTTTGGAAGGGGGGAGCTTGTCTACTAATTTGGCAGCCACATTTGTGAAATGAGAATTGAATTCATCAGCGATGGCCATCTTATCATGACATAATTCCCCATCAATTTTAATGACAGATTCTTGTTCTTTTCGCTTCTCATTTTTTTTAATCCTAAGCTTTTTAGATTCTGCCAATTTTTTTAAAATCTTGTTTATTTTCTTCTATCTTGTTTTGTAAGTAATCGAGTTTAGCCTTTTTCACCTCTCTTTGGACCATATTTCTTAATACTCTGTATCTTTTATAGAGTGTCTCATCTTTTGCTCTTTTCCTCAATTTTTTGTATACTATATTTCTCTCTTGAATTAGGGAAAGAATATCTTTAGTCACCCAAGTTTCTGATTTTTGTTTTATTCTTATCCGTTTCAGTGGCGCTATCATATTCAAATTTGAGATAAAAACATGTTGAAATATTGACCATGCCTCATTTACATCTGTACAGTCAGTTATTCGTGACCAATCAACAACAGATAGTTGAAGATTGAAAGACTCTTTTGTATATTTTTTCATGGATCTGATATCATTAGTCTTGTGATAGCCAGTCTAATATTTTTCCGTGTACAGAAAGTAAAAGAATTGTCGCTAATACCTAGTTCAATGACACATAGTTCGTGACATATGTTGTTTTTATTCTCATATCTGATTGAGCCTATGCATGTTTAATGTGTATAAATATTGTGTGTATTTTTTGTATATGCATGCATTGGTGTTTGTAGAAAATAAAAAGATTAGATCGAAGAAGATGATGCTCGTACATTATGCACCTTGTCTATCGCATAGGTCTAACGCCATCTACGATGTAGATCCGGTATGGTATACCGTACGTGCGCCGTATGCTGCACACACAGCTAGCTCAGTGCTAGTGCTAGTGCTAGTGGTGTCTAAATTATTGTGTGCCAACGTATACAAAACCTGCGCTACGTGAACTCAAACGCGGAAATGAATGGACATTGATAACAAGTATAAGGTTATTTTCCTCGAAACGTCAATGAAATTATTTAAGGTACGTACGTTTTGATAGGTAATATAATTTTTATTTTCTGAATTCTAAGTTACATCTCTAGTAGTCCGTCATAAAGTAATATTTGCTTGTGTATATGTAGTGTTCGAATGAGGTTACTCCGTTTTTAGTGAACGGGAATCGGGCTTCTTCCCCCGGAGAGCGTCGGCATGTATTTGGCTGAAACATCGTTAGACTGGAGAGATTCTCCACAGTTACAGGCTACACGCATGCTAGAAATCTATACCACATTGTCCACCTGTGATCTGTGACGGAGTGCACATTGCAATGGCTAATGTGATGAATATCATTGTTTAGTCTGAAAAAGCTTTTTAGTACAGTTAAATATATACTTAGACTAGTCTATGTAGACCTAATGAAAGTTAAATGCTAAGATTGTTTAGTGTTTAAACAATTTTGTTCTGTGTTGAAAAAAACAAGAATGTCGAACCAGGGAGGTGTCATTTTCGAACAATCATCATCATCGTCATCATCATGGACATGGATGTCACGTAGAACTTTACCCATTGAGTGCTGTAAAGTGATTTAGCAAGTTCCCATTGGCCAATCCTATTCGAGCGGTCTCAAACTTTAGTGCAAGAGGGCTCACTCCAAAAAGTAAAAATCTTTGAGTGACCGGCTTTACCATAGGGTAGAGTGCCCAGTATTCGGTCACTTAAGGGGAAATCACTAATATTTTGAATTCTTACCTCTTTTGTTTGGCAATCTACCCATCAAAAGAAAAGAAATTTATTCCTCTAACAGGATTTTATAGTCACTTAAAATATAGAATAATGATGAGCAAAATACTTCTGAAAGAAGACGGAGCATTTTTCTGCCCGGAATATTGGTCGCGCCGATTAGAATTCGGTCACGCAATTTGTGCGTGGTATCTCCGTTGCAAAGGA